AGTGCGGACGTGTCAGGAATGCTGACGTGGCAGCGCGGTGGGCTGTTGGGTAAGAGAGGGGAACGACTGCTGACGTGCATAGGTTGAGATCTTCCTCCTCCTCCACCTCCGCAGCTCAGGTTGGCCCTACCGGTTATCGCTTACCGCATCCAAGCGGAAAGATCCGAGATACCTCACGCTGGGTTTGGGTGGTCTCCATCCTGCCACTGTCATTCTCGTGAAACCAATCAAGGACATTATCCTGTGCCTTCCTGCACCCTGATTGGTTGATACACAGATAGAATCAACCCCCCGATCGGCAGCTGTCACTCCTCATCCGACGCCACAGGTGAAAACACATCAGCTCATTCCCCCGCCCCCAAGGCGCCCTGACCGTTCCATTCATTTCTTCAAATCATCATCCCCCACGCGAGCGCCACGTGTCCAACGCCGGCCACGCCACCCACCTTCCGAACTCCCTCGCTGACCACCCCGCACACGTGTCCAACACCCCCACAAAATCGGCAGGTCCGCCTCCTCCTCCTCCTTTCATCCTCTTGTGCCCTCCTCCTCCTCCTCCTCCTCCTCCTCCTCCTCCTCCTCGCTCTCCTCCTCCCCCTCCCTTCTTGTTCTCTCCTCCTCCTCCTCCTCCTCCCTTCGTCTTCTTCTCTCCTCCTCATCCTCCTCCTCCTCCCTTAAATTAAAATAACCTTTTACCCCCTTGACAAATCCCCCCCTCCACCTCCCCTCCCCTCCCCTCCCCCCACCGCACATGACTTTCACAAGTTTCTCTGCGGATTCGGGCTCCTCTCAGAGAGCGCACTCCAACCCCATCTTCAAAAAAAAAATCAAAAAATTCCTGGGATGTTTTTTGGCTCGTCTGGTTTTGCCGGACGGACCCCCCCCCGTTCGTCTGGCCCGGTCCGTCTGGCCCGGTCCGTCTGGCCCGGTCCGTCTGGCCCGGTCCGTCTGGCCCGGTCCGTCTGGCCCGGTCCGTCTGGCCCGGTCCGTCTGGGCCGGACGCCGACTTAACCCAGCATTTTAGCATTTTCTTCTGGCAACCATGCGCTTTTGTTGCTCCCTCCCTCCATCGTCGCCTGATCTATGATGAATTTCACTGCTGGAGGAGGAGGAGGAGAAACTGAATGCAGAAAAAGTAATGAATTCATCTGAGAGCCTACTTGCACTGGGATTGTCCCAGATGTATCTCGGTGCAATTACTGCCAGTCCCTCCTTTGACCCTAAACCAGTCACCACAATTAGGTGTACAGATCAGTAGAAAAAGCCCAACTTCGAATACTCCGTCTGTGTATTTGGAGGTCACCCAAAAGCATCATCTCATGTCTGTCTCCTCTATCGGTGAGATTTAGCGACTGCAGTTACTGCACCATTTGCCATGGACAAAAACAGGACTGATGCAGTGCAACAGGGATGGAACAACAAATGACACAACACTTGTCTCTTTCATTGCAACGAGATTTTTGTCCACTGTGGCTCTGTCCACAGCATGAAGGGAGAATGGACACAGAATGTACTCGCTGCCCTCCTCCCCCCCCCC